TCTGCTGGCCGTCTGCAGGCTGACAGTGAGGTGAGGCGGTCTGCTGGCCGTCTGCAGGCTGACAGTGAGGTGAGGCGGTCTGCTGGCCGTCTGCAGGCTGACAGTGAGTACTGATTCGGTGAAGATCCTTTACAACAGCGGGGTTATGAGACCTGTATCTTTGGGACACGTTGTTCCCTCTGTAATGCCACCATAGTGTATATGTCCCTGAATGTCCCCAGCCTTTTAATGGAGCATGTGTGCCCAATCCCCCCCCCCATGTCCCCACAAGGCCATAAATCACAGTCATCGGCCCCAGAGCCTGAAGTGCCATTTCAGAAGGACAGATGGGCCACATTTTTAATAAGACTGATGCACCCTGACTGTGGGTTCACATAGGGCGTTCTTGCATTGTACTGACTCGCCAAGACCTCGCTCTACCCCCCACTTTGCTCAGTGGGTCCCCCTGTGGAGGGGGAGGTGCCTGTGAGTCACTATTTCTGTGTGTACATGTCTTCCCAATTAAGACTTGCTATAGACTTTCTGTGGGGACTACAGCATCCTTTCACACTTTGCAGTAAAGCAGGATGTGTTACGGGCAGGCATGTGTGCTGCTGATCAGTTCCGGTAACCTGCATTGGTCAGGGCTGTTCACAGTGCTTAATGGGCTCTGCTAACTGTGGACCCATAATTAGGGCTGTTGCAGTCTTGGGCGAGTCCCTCCGTACAGAAAAGGAGGGTGTAAGTCAGCACAGAATTATTTGACTGGCTATAGATTTCTATGCATGCACCGATAGCAGTGTTTCCCAACCCAGTCCTCAGGGAACCCTGGACAGTCCACGTTTTTGCTTCCTCTCAGCTCCCAGCGCACCTGTACCAGGTATTTGGTGTTCCTGATTGGCTGGGAGGGAGCAAAAAGGTGGAGTGTCCGGGGTTCCCCGAGGACTGAGTTGGGAAACACTATTGCATATGGTTACTCCGTCCTAACTTTTTGTGGTTGTGGTAGACTGATGTACAGGGAGAAGAGTAACCTTGCAGTATTGTGAGTGCAGACCAAACAGGCATCCCATGGCCATCAGGAATAACTCTTTGTGCTGTTCGCCAGCACATTAAAATGAAAAATCTTCACCCGCCAGAAATTCCACTGGTTTTGTATGGTCTTCCCTCTGATTGGCTCTCCAGCAGCATCAACATGGTGTGATGGTGACCAATCAGCAGCCCTTCTGTGTTGCTGCGCTGAAATACAACAAAACAAACAGGATTTACAGCCTACAGCAAGGCCCTCTGTTTATTTTACAAAACAATCTACCATCCAGGCAGGGGAGAGAAAGCTGTCAGGGACCGATACTGTGTGAAGGCAGGACCACTGATTGGCCTCTCGTGGTTGATGGTCCCCACCCCCCACTGCTCCTGTTTGATTCAGGTTATGTAAAAGCTCAACAAGGACCGCCTCCCCACTAGTTTTTAATATCTTTAAACACAAAGCAGGTTCTTATCAAGGACAAGCCATTACCTGCTGTCTGCAGAATGCATGCAATGCCAGCCAATCTGCACCAGGGCCAAACCACCTTCACGTCTCTGCAGCAATGACTGGGCTTTGGAAGATGAGAACACGACTGTCCCTCGACTTGTTCCCCAGTATCGATGTGGAAGGTGAAGAATTCATACTGTCATATTATCTTATGGGAAACTTTACTGCCGATTTCAAACCCACAGAAGCTTGCCCACAGCCCTGTGTTCAGAGGAGATGAAAGGAATCATGCAGAGTGGCTCTCACCTGCACTGTGGCTGCCTGAGCCTAACTGGACCTTAGGGGCACCCCTCCGGCTGTGGGCGGCCTGCCTTCCATCCTGGATCCCTCCCCATGGCTGGCCCTTTGATTGTCACCGAGTGTAAGCCCCGCCTCCTGTGGCCACACGGGGTCATTCATCCGAGGGCCCCGCCTCCTGTGACGACACGGGGTCATGCATCCGAGGGCCCCGCCCCCTGTGGCCACAAACCGACCAGCACATCAGAGACCCTTAAACCCCCCTTCTATAAGTAGGGCAGTCATGTTAATGCAGCCTCTGCATGGTTGTTAATAATGATGCTCTAGGTTTCGTAAAAAGCATAGTTCCCATAACGGTATCTGGTGATACTTTTCAGAGGAAACTCCACGCGGAGAGAACAGATGTGGGATTCAGACCCCCAACCCTGTGGGTATGTGGCAGGAGAGGTACCCTGATCCACTTAGTCTTTAACTGTATAGCTAAAGCTCAACCTGGAAGTAACTCATACATAGATAAGGAAAGATGTCAGTTCTGTTAAGTCGGATCATTAAGATCACATCATATGATAAACGCTTGGAAATCAGAACAGAGCAGAAAACAATTTAACATGACCTTGGAAAAAAATTCCAAGTAGAATTCAAAAGGGCATTTCCCCCCAGGTTACCGGTGACAAGAGATTGCCCGCAGGCTGATCCTTTAGAAAAGACAATCTCTTCAGGCTGCTCTAATGTGGGGGTGTAAGATACCCATTAATATCTGTTTGCAGGCAAGAGAAAGACAGGACGGCTTTTAAAACTTCTCCAGAATGTCGCAGTCCACAGCTTTTCTGCTTGCTCTTTGGATAACAAAAGAGGGAACTTAGTGGCCAAATTCTCCTGTATTCAGAAGCAGCCATGGAAATCTGGGAATGCCCTTCAGGACAGCAGAATGCCGGTAGGGTGCACAGCCGACTGCGTCTTCCAGAGTGCAGCATGCAGGCCGTTTCCCTTCAGGTGTGCTGCCTAGGTCTGATGAATGTGAAATGCACCCGTCCACTGTTAACAGAGCGGTTAAGGGTTATGGGGGTAGGGGATGGGGGTTACAATGAATAAATGACAACTAGGTCAGGCTCTTGTAGTTAAGATTTTATTTACATAATCTTTTTACATCAGAAAACATTTACACAAATTATGTTCTCCCCATTGCTCTTTTTGTCCACTATACAGCATTCTCTGGTCTGCAAACAGATAGGAAGGGGAAGAAAATCTGATCAAATAAACAAAACAAAAACACCAACCTTTAAATACACCACTTTGCCTTGTGGGTGATAGTTCAGTGTGTCCTACCAGGAAAGCGTATGTTGGAGGAGGGGGGGGGTTAAAATAAAAAACCGGCCTGTTGTGCAGTTCAGGCCAAGTGGAGCAAGAGGAGCAGAAATGCCTTCATATTCATACGTCCATTTCTTTCACATTTTTGTATAAACGGAGCCGAGACAGTCGGCCTTCGTGTAGTAAAAACATGGGCTGAACCAGTTTTGGGTAAAAACATACAATGATGGCATGACATCATTTGATAGTGTCCACTAGAGCAATAAGTAGGCCAGACACTTGCGGGTCAAGACATCTTAAAGGCCAGCCCACACACACACACACACACACGAGGGGGGGACCACCGCCCACGCCTCTAGACAGTACACAGAGGTCACTATGGGTTCCACGCCAGGAAAAAAAAAAAAAAACGGGACGTGGACAGCGATCCTGGAACTCCAAAGTCAGGGAAGAAGGTGGCAGATGCATGGGGCCGGTGTGCAGGCCAACTGCAGGTCGGGGCCGAGGCAGCACTGCAGAGCAGCACTGCAGAGCAGCACTCCCAGCACATTCCCAACCTGCATTTTGAAGCCAATAAGATTCGACAGGGTGTCACCAGGGACATGATAAATTTAAACTGAACTGATTCTACCCATCCTCTCAGAGCAGGCGGGTTCGCTCTGTGACAGCACTCTGCTGTCCTATCAGGTTTTGCGTCACTGGGAGAGGGAGGGGCCTAGTGCTCAGAGGAGATGAAAGGGATCGCACAGAGAGGCTCTCATCTGCATGGTGGCTGCCTGGGCTTCAGGGGCTGTGGGCTGCCTGCCTGCGTTCAGTTCTGGATTCCCTCCAACAAGCAGGGCCTTTTGATCATCGCTGAGTGCAAGCCCCTCCTCCTGCAGCCACATGGGCCCATGCATCCCAGGCCCCGCCTCGTGCAGGCACTCACAGGGCCCCGCCTCGTGCAGGCACTCACAGGGCCCCGCCTCGTGCAGGCACTCACAGGGCCCCGCCTCGTGCAGGCACTCACAGGGCCCCGCCTCCTGCAGGCACTCACAGGGCCCCGCCTCCTGCAGGCACTCACAGGGCCCCGCCTCATGCAGGCACTCACAGGGCCCCGCCTCCTGCAGGCACTCACAGGGCCCCGCCTCCTGCAGGCACTCACAGGGCCCCGCCTCCTGCAGGCACTCACAGGGCATCACCCCCCACCACCACCATACAAGGCTGTGCCACACTGGGCTCCGCCTCCCACAGCCATCAAACCACCCTACTGTGAGCAGGGCAATCCTGTTAATCCAGCCCCCACACGTCAGTGGAGGCCACGACCTCAGTCACAGGACAGCCGTCAGATTACATTACCCAGCAGTGGATGCCTTCCCCACATAATCTCCTCCGGCAAATGAGCCTTACCTCCCCCGGATGCTAGCCCTAAGCAGTGTGTGTGTGTGTGTGTGTGTGTGTGTGTGTGTGTGTATGTGTGGGGGGAGGGGGGCAGACAATCTCACCCTCCACCACATACCGACACCACAAGCAGCTTCAAAGGGAAATTGAAATGAGTGACTTAGTGTTACAACCAACTCCTGGCCAAACCAGAAGCATAATGTTGACGGTCAAAAAAAGTTCATAATCAGAATCACAGTACAGTACAAGGAGAGAGTTTCTCAGGTTAATCTCAAAGCACATTTCAGTGCATATTTGATTCTATTCACATCATGATCTCTTTGCACCACAACATTAACGGAGGGGGGCACTATTAATGGAACAGCCAATGAGGTGAGACAGCAGGAGCGTCCCCTGCTGTTGTGTCTTGTGGGGGGACAGTCCGCAAGCAGTCAGATGAGATTCAGGCAGCGAATGCTACTCTCAGGCTCGGCCGACCATCTCACCCCCACCACGTGGAGCAGGGAGCTCCCAGAGGTATTCCAGAAAGATCTCTCTCTCACACACACACACATACACACACATACATGCACACACATGCACGCGAGCACAGAAACACACAGTCTAAAGTACATACAGTATTGTAGTGATCTCTTCTATAGAATACGATATCGTTCGTTTGGATTGGTTAAGGGTACCTCAAAGTCTACAGCCCAAATACCTGATTTTATACTTTTAAAAACATTTGGTGACGGGAAATAGTGCATGCTGATATCACCAATCAGGGTTCACAGCTGTCAGCGCAAAATCGGGCCATTTGATCTTAGGCCAGTAATCGGGCTCCTTCTTGTTTGAACTGAAAACCGGACACTTTCGGCATGTGTGAGCCGCGAAGCGCAGACGGGCCCTGATTCGGCGTCAGGCTGAGGTCGCCGGGCCGCTCCCACAGGCTCTCTCAACAGAAGCTGTAGGTGGCAGCCGTGGACATCAGCAAACCTCAACACAACAGCATTCCCAAGTGTCGCCAGGCAACCGCACTCCCGCCAGCAGGCCCTATGCACTGCGCTAGCGGGCTGGACGCTCTCCAAATGCTCCCGACCGTCCATTACACGCACCGCCAGAAACACAATCCCCCTGCTGGGGGAGGGGGCTCAATTGTTCCAAGCGCTAACGAGAAAAGTCAATTACGCAGCCTGCACTGAAGCTAATCAGACCCACCCTGCCGTGCATGTGGAAGGCAAAAAGGACTACGGGGGCTGAAGTCTGGGGGGAGGGGGTTAGAGGGTCGGCCTACAGCGGCAGCAGGAGGACCCAGGCACCTGGCAGGAGGCGGGAATCACCCCCAGGTTCTAACATGTCATTCCCATTGGCATTTACACACCACAAGACTGGGCATGAGCATAAAGAAACAGGATGAGTGAAACAAATAACGAAAATCACCATTAACACTCCTCAGCCTCGTCCACGGCCCTCACAGAGCTCCTATCCTCACTAATGATGACGGGGGAGGGGGGGGGTGTCCCTCTTGCCCATAACCCCCACTTCCACTGACTAGTACATACATGACAAGCTGGTCTCAAGCTATTTTTTCAAAAAGGTTGGGGGGGGGTATACTGGTAAATGGTTGGCATGGTCTGGGGAGAGGCGCTCACCTTTGCGACCGCCCATCCCTCCCAGTAGGGGGCGCTCACGTTTCGAACTGCGTGAGCAGGGCACGCACCTCTGGGGTGAGCTGCTTGGCCGCCTTGGCCGCCTCAGAGATGGCTTTGCGGTATAAGCCCTTTCTTTTCTTGTCGAAGCGTGACTGGAAGTTCTCTAGGAAGGGGGTGACCTGCGACAGGGCCAGGAAGGACGTGGTAGGTGACCCGAACCAGGAGATGCGAGCCTCCTGCCGGACCAAGAGCCCGTTGTCTTTACGGCTCACGGTAATGACTAGGATGCGCGCGGGCCACCAGGGGAAGCCGTAAATTTTGGCCCAAACGATGTCCCCCACACATATGGTCCTGCCGTCGGCCGTGACGCACTTAGAGACGTTTTTGGAAAAGACTGCAGCTTTTAAGGGCTTGCTAGGTTTCTTCTCCTCCTTAGGGACTGACAAAGAGGAAGAGGAGGAAGAGAAAGACGGGGTTGTGGAGGAAGCGGTGACTATGGAGGATGAGCTAGGGACGGGAGGCGAGTGCAGCGCGCCGGGAGGGGGTAGGTCAAAGGTCTCCGTGGAGCTACACTCCGAGTTGGAGGACTTAAGGTCATCGGCGCTATCGACGCTACAGACAGAGACGCTGGAGGAGTCTGGCTGACTGGCGTTAAGGGACACGTACATCGAGAGGCTACCTGCCTTGGCCCCCTGCCTCTCCTCCTGTCCCCCTAGCTCATCAGCCTCCACGTCCGGGTCCCCGGGCTTCAGCTGGGGACTGTGCTCCCGTTCCGGGTGGGGTAGGGCCTCGGACGGGAGCAAGGATCCGAGTTCAGTGTCAAAGTCCGCAGGCGGGCTGTGGTTTTCAGCAGCAGCAGCAACGGCCAGGGGGCCGGAGCAGGAGGAGCGCGTGGAGGCACAGCGAGGCGGCGCCGACCTGCCTGCCACCTTGCCGCCATTTGCGGACCCCCTCTCGAAGCTCAGAGCCACACCGGCTGACGAGCTGTTCTCCTCGTTGCGGTACCTCTGAGGCTTGATGCGAATCCGCGGAGGCAGAGCGGCACTGCTAGCCACGCCCGTTCCACCGCCCCCGCTAATCTGGTGCAGCCGCCGGGTGAAGTGGACCTTCTGGTGGGTGTCCTGGGGGGAGGAAGTCCTGCTGATGGGTGTCCTGGTGACAGCGCTGGCCTTGTCCCGCTGCCTCCGGTGTGTGACACGAGCCATCTTGAGCACCTCACGTGCCTTGCAGTGGTCCACGTTCTTGTTCTGCAGCACCTTCTTGGCATTTAGCTGGACGCGGGGGCCGCTGACGGCAGGTGCAGCGGCTGCATCATCCTCCATCACGCTGGGGCCCCTAACCTGGCCCATCGTGGTGGCGACTCGCACTACTGGCCCCTGTTTGCGGGGGCCCTCGGCCCTGGCTTCAGTGCGGGGTCGCTTGCCCGCTCCGGCCGTGTTCTCGCCGCGCCGACGCTTGGCCTCCTCGGCGCGGCACTCTGGCCCGGGGCCACGCCTCACCTCCCGCTTGTCCCCACCCACCACGGCACCCTTACATTTGTCACAGAGCACCTGCCGTGGGCGGAGCTTGATGGCATTCATGATGGACGTGGGCTCCTCCCGGTACAGCTTGCGTTTTGGCCGTTTGATCTTGCGGGGAGGGGGCTGAGGTATCGACTGGCTGTAAGTGTCCCTGATAAACAAAGGTGGGGGGTACGGTACCCCCTCCTGGAACAGAGGAGGGGGCTTCAAGGTCCACTGAGTGGTGGTGGGCTCGGGCTCGGGCACGCTGGAAGTCTGGCAGGCCTCGCCCCGCTGCTCGTCGGGGGCGCCCTCTTCCTGCCCCTTCTCCAGCTCTGACGGGAATGGTTCTGCCTTTAGCTGCATAGTTTCGGGTTTATCCCTGTATTCCCTCTTGGGAAACACGGTGACCGGAATCCCGTACGGTCCGAACCTGAGGAGAGACATTTTTGAAAGGATCAATAAACAGGGCAGGCACTGGGATAAAAAGCCAGTCCATACCGCTCCCCTTTTTCCCCAAGCCCGCAGTTCACGCCCTTGCAATTCAGCGAATCCGGGTTCGATCGTCATCATGAAACATTTAAGACGTGAAGGTGCAAGAAAGCGTTCCTCGTTTGTCGACTCTGGCGAGGCAAAGTAGCCGTGGTTACAGCAGAGGAGTGATACAGTGCATTAAGTTAATTAGCTCCAAGATCAAAGGGGTTCATGCAGACGCACAAATCCACCCGAGGTTACAGCACAGTCAAGCTCAAAGTTGGGGGGGGGGGGGACATCTTCCTGGCAACAGTCAACGAGAGCTGCTGTGTGTGTGCTTCAAGATACAACCTACGCCAAGACTGTGAGGACGCCAGGAGACCGATAGACGAGACAAATAAATAGGTTGCATTTGAGGCATTCAGTGACATCTGACAGGGGAGCGGCTGACAGAATGTGCCAGAATGGTGTTACAGACGTCCCAGAGATGAGATCACGGGTCACTGGTCATTCTGCCGTCACATCCTGGGCATCAGATTAATGTGCTTAAAGTGACAGGAGCTTTATTCCCAACTACCAGGGAGCATGTAGGTCAGAAACCTACAGGTATCCTGCCTTCACAAGCTTTTTATTGGTAGGGAGGGGGGGGGAGACAGACAGCCAAGGAGGCCAGTGAAACCTGCCAGCATCCAAAGGGGGGGCAGGCAGACTGCCAAATAACAGATAAAGACAGAAAAATACATTAGCTAATTTGAATAATACACACAGAGCCACATGTATAAGATTAGGCTTTACGAGGACACATTAAGACATGACATGCCACAACAGGACAGGGATATAACCCAAGTCCTTTCCTATGTGACTGTCCAAAATCGAGCGACACACAATGGATCAATGCGTGATGGCGTACAGCATGCCGCGTACGCACCTGCATGCCTCCCGTCCTGCCAACCGCATTGTTACCCGTGGGCCATACGAGCGAATGCAGCTGGAGCTTACTGCTATGTCAAGGTATTACAGCTATTCTGGGCGGAGGGGGGGGGGGCGCTGATCAAAAACGGGCACGGAGCTGAATCCCTGTGACTTAACCTTTGATCAGCTTGGCAGCAGCTCCCTCCGCACATCCCTCCATCTGCTTCCTCCATCAGCCGGCTGCTGCCGCCAGAGCTCTCGGGCTCGCGGCAGACCGCCTGACCGCTGTGGCAGCCCTACGGAGGCCGGCCATGTCTCGCTCCGAGGGAGAAAGGCGCTTAAGCAGTCTGAGGCCAGCCTGCCCGCTGTTCTGCTGAAGGTCAAGAGGGGAACAGGTGACCCCCTGTGCATCATTCTGACCGATACCCCCTCCCCCCCCCATGTCCTCCTGCCTGGGATGTTCTTACTTGACTGTAAACACACGTGAAAGGAAGGCATGGGCCATGGACCTTTCTGGAAACATCTCCCCCAGTTGGGACTTAACAGCGATGAAAGACTTATGACATCCATTTATACAGCTGAATATTTATGGTGGAGCAGGTAAGCACCTTCTCAAGTTGCAATGAAGGGACCCATGACGCCTTTAGCGCGGTAAAATGCACCGTTTATTCCATCATGCTGCTGAAATTAATTGCACCATAACAGTCTAAACAGTATTAAAACACATCTGATCTGAATTATAGATTATGATTTATCACAAGACTGACGAGGCAAACAGCCTACATCCTTCCAGTCAAGCCGCTAACAGCAGCCGTCTTGCACCGGAATGCACATCACCCGCCTACGTGTGCATGCACTCCCACGCAGCCCTGCAACGTCGCCCCAGCCTCACAAATAAGACCCCATAAGGGTAGAGCTGCAGCAGAATGGGACACCAACGGGCAAATTCACCAGCACGCACTACCGATAAAGGCTGTCGGACCAGGTGGATATGTACTCATGAGCTGGAAAAATAGTCTCATTAGAGTGGAGGACCTGGCTGTGTGATCCCTTCCAGCCAGCACCACACAGAGTCTCTTTCTAACAGGGAGGCGTGCGAGACAGAGAGGGGCACCAAGCTCATAAGCAGTCAGACATACTGCTCTGAGGTGGGTTGCTGGGAGAGAACGCCACAAGGCAAACGGCCTACACCCAGTCCAAAGCACTGGGGTCAGCAGCTGAGCTTCTGCGGTGCACTGCAGTTTGCTTAGTGGACGTTTCCGTGGGAACCATAAAAATCACCAATCTGTGGCCACCTCCCAATTGGGGATTTAAAGATACGGTGCCCTTCTCAGGTCAGGGCCCTACAACCTCCCTGCTTTATAAATCTACCCCCCCCAACCAGCTCCAGTATAGTGAAAATTAGAGCTCCTGCAGTTTAACAAGCAGAGCACTGTGCTAACAACGCAAAGGTTGTGGGCTCAGATCCCAGGGAACACACATAAATTGTAACCCTTCCCTCTACTGTAAGTTGCTTTGGATAAAAGCATCAGATAAATGAATTAAATTTAAAAATTATGCAAATCGTGCTGCCCTGAGGGAATTACCCCCTCGCTAATGGAGGATCCTGTTACATGAACAACTGTCCCTGATGCGAGCTGCTGGGTCGGAGCCCGCAATGCCTCGTCCTTCTGTCCTGAAATTCATCAGGGCTGCGAGCCTTTTAAACGACGCGCTCCACGCCAAGACCAGGCAACGCTTGAAGGTCGACGGTTCCCCCTGCGTGACAAGATCACATGCTCATCCGTCTCACCCATTCTGGGAAAGCGCTTCATTAAAATGCCCGACGAGAGCATGGTCTCATGCAGTCACGGCCACATGAGAGCTGCACCTGGCTGAGAAGACCACCAGGCGATGTATGAATCACCCATCTTCGCTGACATGTCCCCGGAAGGCTCTCGTATCCTCTCCCTCACTTTACCTAATTCCCAATGATCTAGCCCTGTATTCAGAGCAAAAGCAAAGGACCTATTGAATTATTTTGTCGTGAAACGTGATCTTACCCCAACAGCTGCTTGAAATTTGGGAAGCCTTTTCAACCTGGGGTCCATGTCCCCTGGGGGGGGGGGGTGTCGGTGGATCAGTTGCCGGAGGTCCGTAGAAACGTATGTCAGCATAACCATCATGGTTACACAACCCCAGTCAAAGCTAGACACGTTTTCAAGGGGGACATATTGCATCCTTAATAACAGAAAGGTTGCAAACCCCAAAATTGGACTATTCCCACCTGTGACATCACACGCATTCAGCACAGAGCTCTCCCCCAAATGCTCTTCCATGTGCCTCGACTATGGGCTAGATAAGTAACCAAACCTTCAGAGGACTTCAAAAACCCGTAACTCCACTGCTCCTCACCACAAAACACACATGGGAACACTGTGTCCTTCCACAGGTTCAAAGCTTCACAACGACATTTGATCGTAATCGCAGGCAGTGTCTACAGCAGAGACTCTACTTCCATTAATTCTGTTTGCTATAAGAGCGAATACATCCCTAAATGACCACTTCCTAAGAACATTAGGCATGGATACACTCAAAACCACGTTCAGCCCACTCCCCAGTAACCCACCCTCCCATCAGCGGGTTAGGAAAGCCTTCCTTCATGTCTCTTTTCACGCGCTTGGTTCAGCCAAACAGATGAAGCCACTACCACCTTAGGCTTCGAACAGGATTGTTCCAGGTTTGATTCCTATATATTAAACTCAATTTCAAAGGATGTCAGTTAGAAGACAAATTGGTGCTGCCATTTTAACCCACCCTCAACTGGTCAAAATACCAGCTCGACTAATAATGTGACTGATCCAACCGTACTCCGCTAGGTTCCGGTCAACTTGCCGTGTCGTTCTATGAAAACCACGCTTCTCCATGCCGAACCTACAAGCCCATCATGCTGACGTACTGAGGCATGGTAATTTAGTCCAGGGAGAATGTGTGGTCACACATTTCAAATAGAGATGTAATGTGAAGTGCGGGGCTGTGGGCGACACCACAGCAGGGATATGACAGCGGGGGGGAGGGGCTGCAGGAAAAAAGAAAAGAAAAAACCCTCTACCTGATAAAAGTGCAAGACCCACAATCAACCTGAGCTGAAATGTCATTCCATATGACAAAATAAGATTAGTCTTCCCTCTGAAACCTTCACTCTGTCAGCATGGTTATCACTAAGCCTGTGGTCATAATTGTTGCCATCCTCAACCCTTAAACCTTAAAATAAAAAACTAAAACATGGCCAATGAATGACTACTTAAGATTTTACATTGCAGTAGCCAGATCATGCACCAGTCTGCTCCGCAAGACCAGAAAGCAGGTCCACGGGATTCGCTGGCCAAAAAAAACACAAATCCCACTGCTTTTTTGTTCTTCACAAGTACAATGAAAACGTTTGGTTTTCAGCACCAATCGGGAGCGGGATCTGCAGGAGACCGACTCACGGTCCACTTCTTCAGAAGCCACCATCCCCGAAGGTTCGAGTTCTGCACCAGCATGGAAAACGTGAACATGTCAGCCCCCTACGCTGCTCACAGCTAAAATTAAACCAGCAGAAGGAGATAACTGGCAGCAGCTGATTACAGGCCGAACCACATTGGCTTCTGAGGACCTGAAAATCACCACTGTTGCTGTCATTTCCCACAAACTGCACGTGCTGTGGCTTTTGAGGTGCCTCTGTGACGAGCACAATGAAACAGGTCATAAGAGGCGGCAACACAACGTGCAGTTCAGCATCCCCTGAGGGGAGATGTCTACTCACGTCCGCCGAGCCCGGGAGTGACATGGCATGCTGTTCCATTCTCCTCCCTGTGTGAGATGGCCATCAGCGGGACGGAGAAGGCCCTCTCTGGGAGGAGAGAAAGGGCAATGCAGGTCCCTGCCTAAACCACAGCTGTGGCCCAACCTACACTCAGCAGGAAAAGCAATTTGGGCATCGCCGCCTGGCCAGTGGTGGGCCGTGCAGCCGGTCTGGCCAATCAGTGCTCAAGAAACCCTGGGGACTAGTGTGGCCTAAAACTCATTGTCAGACCCTGAAAGAAAAACTCTATTAACCCAGATCCCCTTTGACGACTTCTGGCAGATGTTAAAAGGCAGCTTTTGTCTTGTTAAAATATAGATAAAACCAGGGATGAGGGGAGATTCTACAATGGATGAACAATCAGTAAGGGAGCAGAGCAGAGGAGCATCCCAACCAAGCATGTACTCAGTCTTACTTCTCCAGTTAAATAGCTCCGACAGATACGCAACACGCAGCAGTCGATGTGTGTCAGGCCATCAGAGCCGTGTCTTTACAGGATCACACACAAGAGAGGGAAAAAAAAAGGTTAGAAATGCACGCCTGACGACTCACGACATACAGAAATAGAATGAAGGGGTGATGAAACAGGGCCGGGAGAGGTGTTAGAAAGGGAGTGAAACGAATTAAGACAGCAAACGAGAAGGGGATAAGGAGGGCGAGCCCTGGAGACAGAAATCCTAAAATATGTTTAGTTGAGAGTGACGCCAAATTGCAGCTAAGGGCAACATAAACTACAAAAACCGCAGTTTGAGTCTTACTGAGATCACAGGGCTGTTAAGAAAGAAATACATTAAGGGATTAAAGAGAAGGGAGTACGTCTCCTGTGTGCAACATAAAAATATACACAACTAAACAGCCAGAAGATACAGTTCAATCGTGAGATGACGGCTGCACGTCACCCCACAAGTGTTTACTAAAGGGTTTGGGCAGTCTCTGGATACCAAAAGCCACCATCTCGTTAAAGAGGTGACCATCTTTGGTCTGTGTGGGAAACTCCAGTCACTTGTGTCTGAGCAAAGCATACGTATTAATTGTGTCACATTCCATTTTCTGGTGTCTTACCCAAGTGGACATCAGGATCCTAAATAAACACAACATGAGGTGTCTTTAATAACTTGTGGTTCGGTAAACCCCACTATGTAAACATTCAACATGTGGAAAACTTAAAAGGAACGTAATTGCAACACGGACACAGGAGTCCCTTTAAACAATACCGCTTAATGGGAAAACTGACAGAGATCTTTAGCTTTCTGAATAACAATAAGTTAACAGACACCCATGTGACTACCTTTTAGAGACATCCATAAGGACCCCCGAGAAGATTTTCTCTCCGAGCCGAAACGAGACCACCAGGGCGTCATCGATGATGTGATCCAACGAGACTCGAACCTCTGACCCGGGGATGAGCTGCGCAATAGATTCGGTCCGTAGCCCTTCGTCCTCGGGGCCGGCCAGCGCGGCTTTCAGCGGGGCGTCCTGCACGTCGGCGCTGATCGGAGGCGTGTCAAAGTGCTGCGGGTCCGATGCAGCCGGGATGCGATCCTTGTCCACCGGCGCCTCCGGGTACGTGCGCTCCTCGCTGCTTTCTGCAACCGTGAGATGTTCCGTGGTCCTCGGACTTGTGGGGACCGCGTACATCGCGTACGCCTGCAGGAGATCGGCGCTCCCCAGTCCGAGCTCTGGCGATGGTTCGACCGCAGGTGGCTCCAATGAAACGCGTACTTCAGGGTGGATGTCGGTGCCCCCGGTCAGGTCCGATTCGATGAGTGCAGCGCATCCTCTCCCCAGTTCAGTCATATCCGTTAGAGACAAAAAAGGCGCTGCGAGCCACGTCTCTGTCGGCACCGCCGGGACAGCCTCCGGGAACCCGGTGGACAGCTCTGCTGCTGCCGGTTCCGATCCGGCGGCCAGCTGGACTCGTGGAGGCGACCCGCGCGGAGCGACCTCGCTCACCGTCCCCTCACTGGGAGTCAACCCAGCGCTAGAGTTCACCTCCTCGCACCCGAGGTCCCTCCAGGTTCCTGTCTTGCAGCCGGGGCTCTTCGGGACAGCGTCGGGCTCACTTCCAGGGCTCCCCTCCGCGGCATGTCTGTCCCCTCCGGGACTACAGCGAGCACTGCCCACGGCCTCTTGGGGAGCTCTGCGCTGCGCCTCGGCGCGACCCACGCTGCATTCCTGAGCTGCATCTCCGTTCTTGGGTACGCGCACAAGGTCCATCACTGTGGCGCGGTGCTCCGCAGCCTCGGCCTTAAATTGGGCCTCCCTCGCAGCTGGCTGCACCACCTCGTGTTCTAGCTCCGCTCCCTCCCTCGCTGTTGTGGTTGCTGCCGCAGAAGCTCCTGGCTCCGCAGCCACGGCCGCCATTTTCTTTCGCCTCCTCCACCACCAGCTCAGCCTTCTCTCTGTGATAGGATGTAATCCCTCCCACCGCGACCCCACGGGACTTCCCATTGGCTGCAAAGCAAGGAGCTCCTGCATATGTTGCCCGATTCTGAGTCTATCAGGACGGAGCGCTGGAGTTGGCCGTTTTAATTGGTCGAATCCGTGTCCGTCGCATCGGTCCCGTTACTTTTATGGATTGAGGTTGCACTGATGGTGACACAGGGGGCGATATTGTGTCATGTTTTTACCCTCCAGTAGCGAACGAAAATGACCATTTGTAGTGCACAAAGCAATTATTACAAACAAAAATATCAACAATGTTATATGTAACTATACATTTTGTAAATATAATTAATAATCATAAAATATAAATAGCAATTATAGAGAGACGATTAAATACATACATTGTTCTTTATGCATTTTTGTTCTTTCTAACAAAATCTTTACTATACAAAATTCCATTTGAATAATATGGACATTCCCAGGCGTAGTCTTACAATTAACATTTTAGCGTTCATCTTTACATCTTCATTTTAGTCATAGTCAATCGGAGTTCCTCTTTGTAGTAAAAATACTAGCCTTATCCGTATGACTTCTGAAGTGATCATTTCTGATGTCTTGAAGTTACCCAGAAATTCATATCGGAAACAGGAAGACATATCACCTGCTTTTATTTCAGTTCCCGAGCAGCCTTTCTGCTCATGTTTTAGGTTAAGATTTACATGTACTGTATACTGTACTATGCTGTATAAATAATACAATAGATATTAGCATAGTAATTGGTTGGGGGGTAAATAAAAGGTGTTGAGTATTTCTCATTATTTATCCATCCATTAAGTCATCTGAACCATCTGATACATTTACTGCTACTTCTACTAGGCGTGTTAAGCCTTATGAATCCACGCTGAACTCGTGATTCAATGCAAAACCCATTTCCAAACCTGCCTAATATTTATACACCTCGATATGACAACACATTATCAAAATTACACTGTCTTCTAGAATACACCTGAGCGATAATACCATGCTTTACAATAATGCAGTTACCTAATGCAGTTCTTTTGAAATGCAAGCACTCTCCTGGGGCACAACGCCAGTTATTTGAGCACCTAGGGCTAGTTCCTTGCATGAAGCAGCCGGTGCTGAAAATATGATGAAATGGTCAGCAATTAATATCACATCCATTAGGTGGCTTTTTGTTGTAATCATTTAGATGAAATACAGCATTTAGAAGAGTATCTGACTGTGGGTAGGTAGTGTTTTGAACGAGACAACTAAATATTTGATTCCTCCACAAACCTCAGGAGCCAGTTAGCAGTTGAACTCACCATGCCCCGTTTTTAACGGAATGACCACTCGCACCGTTTCCGGTGAACCATCATGGCTTTTCAGTATGCATATATGCCTACACAGCGCCCCCGCCCTCCCCTCTCCCCTCGTTTTCTGCCAGCTCATAAACCGGCCCCCTTGATATGGTCCCTCTAATTGTATACTACGTGTAGAATTATTACACTTGTAACTGCTCTTCCAACTTAATAGTTTAGATGAATCTCTAAGTAAGAATGGACTGTTTAAAAATAGAGCATGCTCAGTATTTTATCTGATTCCTGTTTGGAGTAAAACTGGAAATCACAGGTACTTACCTGATTCCCGATAACGACGAGTCTTTACAGTCTTACGAAGACTCTAAAGATATATCTTACGAAAGGTATTTGTTTTCCTACATATATAATCTTCTAGATTGCTCAAGGAGAGCTTCTAAAGAGCAACCTCAATAGGCGCCAGAACACCTGATTGGTTAACATCGATGCTCCAGAATTGATTATTCCCTACATGCAGCAACTGCGGCACGAGAGAAAGTGGTGTTCCTTATAAATATAAAACTGCAGGATTCCTTCAAAATAAAAATAAAGTACAAAATTAACAACTTGAATCATCTAATCGTAAATAAGATTTTCGCCGATTGGGCGCACGAAACCCGCCTCCCCACATTGTAGTATCACCATTTTATTTTTATTTATTCTATAAAACACCTGCGTGCACTAGCATGTGTGCATGTCATTGATATCGGGAGGAGCAATGGCACAATAGCCGAAAGAAAAGTTGTGTTACTATTTAAACGTAAGAGAATGTCCTATGTGCTTCTAAGGATTATTCCAGGGTGCTATTTTGGACTTTCATGCAAATGAACCTGCTGCGTCGAATCGTATCAATCTCATGAAGCAAAGTTTTCATATACTGTGACTTTGGCATATTTACAGAGGCGTGTGCGTTCCAGCGGCGTCGGAAATTGGGGGAACGCCCACATCCCAGTATCAGCAGAACCTTCATTTCCTTCACAATTAATAAATACATAATCAACAGGGCGTTCCTTATCTTTCATTATGAATCAGTGCATTACTGAGGCCAATTCTCTGCGCATTCAGAGTTCAAAGACGAAACCTGATGATGATTGTAGTAATGTATCAGACAAAATCATTTTATCATGTGGACCAGTTAATTTTTAAATTAAGTGATGTTTAGTTATGAAACTGTACCCTTAACGATGTTGTTCTTATTTTAAATGAGGAGTATGAGTCGAAAACAGCGATGAGACAGCTAAGAGACAACTTAAGGTAGAACTTATGAACGACTTTGCCTTAAGAAATTTAAGGGAAAACGAGCCCTGTGCAAATTATTATTACTATTAAAATGAGCCAATAAAAAGGACCTTACAGAAAGCGACAAACGTAAACAAATAAATAAATAAAGTGCCTGTCAGAGGGATGAGAAACCATCAAAACTGCCAAACTTATAAAACGTGTTCAACATACAATTGAATGTTTTGTGGCTAACAGCCAAAGAAGAAGGAAGAGACATGTAGAGAGAAGACACAAATTAACTGCCTAAAATATGCCAGAAACCCTTCCGAATCAAATGCCACCATTTTTCAAATTTGCGATCTTGAACGGAATCTTTGGAAGTACTATGTGCAGAGTGCTGCTTGACACTGCTATGGTCACAAAGGCTGAGACACAACCTCCACTCAATACAGCACACAAGCTACAACCTCAGGAATGTGCATGGACACGTCTCAAGGCTGATTTTACATGGGCTCCATGGACCGGTGAGATGAGAGTGACTCTTGATGTAGCAGATGGATGGATGGGCCAATGGTTGGACACCTTCTTCAAACACCAGCAAGGTGGTTCAGGGGTGAGAATGCAGGCTGCAGTTATCAGTGATGCACTTGTCAGAACTTTACGACTTGCAGATGGTGTAAAAATTAACAACAAGATCTACTGCCAAATTCTAGAAGATACCATCTTCAAACACTGGCACAGGAAGAAGTCAGCTGCTTTCTAAAAGGTTATGATATTCCTGCAGGACAATGCCCCTCCCTGTGCATCAAAGTATTCCATAGATTGGCCTAGAAAAGCTTAAAACATAATTGAATTATGACCTACCCCCCTTCATCGCCTGACTCAACCCCATTGAGAACTACTGGGCCTTACCAAAGTGTGAGATTTACCAAGGTAGCAAACAGTGCCCTTCTCAGAGCAGCATCTGGGAGGTGGTCCTAGCTGGCTCAGCTAATATAGGACAGGATCAAATCAAAAACCTGATTGGTTCAGTGGGCAACAGGCTCATGATGGTCATTGAGAAGAAAGGTGGCTATATGGACATTAAACCTGGTAAAGTGAACTGTATATAATGGCCAATAGTTCATTATTCTTTATATAGACTTAATAACTAAGATTGTTTTTATTATTTCTGTTGATGGTGAAGAGAGAAACATTTACTTTAAAAAGTTTCTAACACTTTCTCTCTAAATACATTTACTTTTACTTGGACTAAAAGAAAACTTCTGAATTCACTTTTATAAGTCTGCCCAACGTTCACTAAAAACTTTTTTCCAGGAATAGTACTTGCCTAATAATTCTGTACAGAGTGCAAGCGTGCAAGTGTCATCCACTGTATGTCGTCAAAAAAATCACTTACCTATGTCACTGTACCACTGTAACTGTATCTGCTATAAAATGCTATGTTTAGACTGGGACACTGGTACTGCATTGAAATGTAGTGGCATACATTTGGATTGTGCTGCAATAAGATTATATTATTTATTAATGTTTTTTACATTTGCAAATGTGTTCTTTTTCAATTTTTATTCCTTAGTAAAAAAATAGAAATATTATCTACATAATCTGACCAAACTAAAATAACAAGTACTTTTCCCATGTCTTTAAACTGAACGTATGTATTGTAGGACTTTGCAGATTCAGGCATCGCAGTGGCCAAAAGCAGGTGGGGCAAGATGGTTTTAAACAAAATAGCTCTTTTAACCGCAGACCTTAAAAGGACTTCACACAGATAACAACCACCCTCCGAAAACACCTAATGTGGAAACGCAGAGGTCTGACGCCAGACAGTAAGCATACACAGGGTGGGAATTTGGTACAATTCCTAAAGACACAAGAGGATCGGACGGGGTTCACATATGGCACAGCAAGGGCACACACAGCAGTCGGGGACACACAAGTACTTACAATAAAAGTTACATACAGGGGCCATTTACACGGCTCGCAAGTACGCCGGGATATGCAGACGGGCTCCGCCACTCGAAGCCATCTTGCTGGCACTACAGAATTGGTCCAGCAAGGGCTCGCAAGTATCTAGGTCTGGCCTCCAACATAGAACTGCTTCAACCCCTCTATAGTTTTTGGCCACTTTGGGCCATTGTCTCATGAGCCACTCATTGCAAGTCACACCAAAGCTTTTCAGTAGGACTGAGTTCATTACTTCGAATCAAAACATGAAAGTTCTTCTGCTTCATCCAGCACGCCATGGATTTTTCGTGCATCAAGGGTCAATAACTGGCTCATTCACCCACTTTCTATTTAGGACACAATTTAAGTCAAAATACAGAAGAATTAATGCATACATCTCTGTTTCAATGAAGTCTAGGAAGAGAATATTTAGATTTTTCATTGATCATTTATGTTACGTAGGTATTCAAGGACACATTTGAGATGGTAATAATAAACTTTTGCCCTCATAGATTGTACCTGTCCCTGCCAAACTAACGGATGACCGTGTGACAAAATGCGGTTTTACGATCTGAAGTTTGCTAGTGAAAGCCCAGAAAGTTCGTTTTTTAATACCGCAGTTTGGTCGTAAAAAAGTTCATGAGTCACTATGTTTTATATTGTCCAAACACATTTAACCCTGAGAGAGGAATAAAAGAGCTCAGCCTTGTGCTGAAGGACATTCCAGTTTATGGGGTTTTGCAGTCGGGCAGGTTAGTGCTCAGACAGCAGGCTCTCATTTCCCTTTTACAGGTATGACTTCATTTCATTAACACGAGATCCTCTCCAGGGAACACCTGTGGGTGCTCATGTTAAAAACATCTCCCACTGAGCTAACCCTCCCCACGTCCCTTCCCGGAACCTCCGGATGCCTGTTCTGATGACCACTTCATCCCACATTCAGATTACTGGTACATTTTAAAAGGGTCATCTAAGACTTTCTGGAGTCACGTCAGTCATAAGAGTTTTGCCATTCTGATATTTTTTAAGGGTTGAGTCAGAGTTGTGGGACCCCAAACAATGCCAATTCAATTATGTTATAATGAATTGTCAGTCAGGGGCCCTTGGAGTTATTCTAACTTTCCCTGTTGGGCTCAGGCCTGTGTGTGGCTCAGTGGGCTAAGCCTCTGTGCTTCTGATTGGAAGGAACTGCTTCAAGCCTGGCCTTGACAGACTAGTCATATGAGCATGGCCCTTTAACCCCCACAAGGCGGCTGCCCCCTCACCGTGACCCCCAACCTTGCTCCACCTACAAATGTGCCTGTGTGTCTCATGGAAAACAAGACAGGAGTTAAAGTGAAGAGAGGATTTCCCCTCAGGAATTAATAAAGCATCACCGTTCCATTAGCCAGAGGAATCCCATAGGCACGGGCAGACGCTGTCAGGGAGCGTCCACATTTCTTCTCTTTTTTTTTTTACCGAGAGTCACTTGACCACAACAATGGACCACGTGCTGAAAAAGCAACCGCCAGCCTGTTCAGAGTCAAGCATTTCTGCCGGTTCCTCGTCTGTGGTAGAGATTGTCTGAACCTGTGGCTTCTTCCCATGCAGAACCGAGCGGCTGGATGGTGACAAATTCTAATACAGACGTGTATCCCGGGAGCAGGCAGAGAGCTTGCTTGTCTGCATCTGGAGCTCATGGGGGAAGGAAGTGCACACTTTTCCTGTGGTGGGGGCAAACTGCATCTCAGACGATCACGTGTCTTTGGGCCATGTCTCCTCAGAGCCCCCATCCCTCGTAAAACAGGAGCACTGCTGCAAGGGGCTGCCGGGATCCAGGTCTGACTCGACCGCAGACAGAGGTCTTTCTGTTGAGTCAGCCTCTGTGGGGAACACACTGTCCTGCAGACACTGTCATAGCCAGAATCAGTCCACTGCGCCCCTGTCACTGCATGATATCACTGCATGGCTCAGTGTGGCAAAAAGAGGCATACAGGACAGAAAGAAACTGGGGTGAACAACAATGATTCAGAAGTGCTGTCACTTAAAAAAAAAGAAAATCATTATTTATATCTAGCATAATAAAAATTCTGTCTTTCTGTAAGGGGTGAGGACAACGTATTCATTTGCATATGTGTGGCTTACAAAGACATGCCACAGAAATTGATTTGATGCCAGAAGTCTTTCCTTTGAGGAGTGTAAGCACACAATTACGGAGCTGACCGAGCGGTCACTCACCTGCGATTGTGGTGGTGTCATCATAGCACTTTATGACAGGCTGCGCCGGGATGGGGGGGGGGGGGGTCCCAGGGAGGGTGTATTTATGG